GGACGAGGCGAAGGCCAGGGCGGAGCAGGACGCGATGGCGGCCATGGAGGTGAAGCCCCTGCAGACGACCATGGCGGCGCAGCCCTCATGGTCTCCTCACCGGACCCTTGGCCCCCCCCCAAAAAATACTTGGGGAAATCCACGGGTTCAGGAAAGCCCTCCCGGAGCTTGAAGGGAGCAGGCAGGGCGAGGCGCAGAGGCGGGGCCGGCAGGGCGAGGCGCAGAGGCGGGGCCGGCAGGGCGAGGCGCCTGGGAACGCCCTCCGGAGCCTGGCGAGCCAAACGAGTCCTCCTCCTCCTGCGACGGCGCTTCACTGGGCTTGAAACTTTCACTTGGCTGGATTCACTTGACTTGGAACTTGACTCACTTGACTTGGAACTTGACTCACTTGACTCGGCGGAACTTGACTCACTTGACTCGGCGGCAGGGGCGGACTGGCCATCTGTGTGATCTGGAGTATCACAGAACGGCCGGTACTCCAGGACGGCCAGCGGGCCGGCCCACCACCCGCCACACACGCAGTCATCACCTGTTTTTTCCCCCCACTAATCTGTTTCACACTCCAGTACTGTAGGTGGCAGCAATGCACCTTTAAGTTGGATGCCAGCGCGGAGCATTATCAGCTCGGCCCAAAAAAACTGCGATCGCGGCCGAAGCAGCTGTGCGGACTGATCTCGATCACGCGAACATTATTACACAGAGTTGCGCGATCCACTGAGAAGCATTTCAATTCAGCGCAGAATTCTCTATCTCTATTATAAACCCACAGATGGCTGTGATTTAAGCTAGTTAAAAGCCAGATTAAACAGCGCTGATATTCTCAACATCTTGACGCAAAAAAACAGGCGAAACATTGTTCCAAGAACAAACCAGTTAGAAGACATTTCACTCCACAACATGAATTAACTGTAACTTAGTAAAACAAACTTTTTTGGCAGAAATGTGCCTGTATTCATATTAAAAATGCTGTTATATTAATAGTCATGTAGGCCTATAAATGTAGGCTATTAAATGTAATGCAGTAATGTTTTTGTTTAGAAGTTATGGCAGTTTATTTATTTATTTTGCATTACATATTTATACTAAATGTTTATGCTACAATAGGTTTTTAGAGAATAATATATATATATATATATATATATATATATTACAAATTTTTCAGGAATTGTTGAACCAGAATATCAAGATATTTTATTATTTCGCATATGATGGTGAAAAGTAAAAAAGTAAAAGTTAAAAGTAAAGGTAAGGTAAAAAAAACACCACCATGTTATATGTATAATAAATATTTTTGAGTATAGCCCTTCTAGATTATTTTATCCCTTGAGGTAGCCCTCGCACACAAAAAGGTTGGAGACGCCTGGTATATAGTAACTATATGTTTTATAATTACAAGTTTGTGTAATTAGGGTTTCTGTAGCCAGTGACATTTCATTATTTGTATTTTATTAACAATCCAGATGTAATGGCATTGTACATTTTTTTGTTTTTATTTGAAGACTGAGGCTTCATTAATAAACAAAACCCCAATTGTCATCATTGTTTTTGAGATATTACTTGCTGTGAATACCTTGTCTGATATAGGTTACAGTATTGTGGCATAGTATCAGGACATCCTAGTGGCTAGGGGCGAATGGCTGGATGATGGGCCTATTTGGGAGAAAGTCCAGGGCTGTTTTTTAGCCCCAGTCCGTCCCTGCTCGGCGGCACTTGACTCACTTGACTCGGCGGCACTTGACTCGTTCGCGCCGGCTGGCACGCGTTCAAACTCCGGTTCGGCTGGCGAAACCTCCGCCGCGGTTTCTGGATTAGCAAAATCAACAGGACCAGTGCGGAATACGGGCTCGAGGGGTCCGACACGAAGAGTGGGTTTGGCGGAGCAGACGTGCAGCGCGGGTTCGGCTGAGCTGACGTGAATTGCAGGCTTGTGGAGCGCGGGCGCGACCGGGCTGATGTGAAGCGCAGGCTCTCGCAGCTTCTCCACGCCCACGGTAAACGAAGAGCCGCTCCACAACAGGGCCAGGTCGATATACCACTCTAAAGACCCGTGCGGATCAGGTTCGGGCATCAGAGACCGGAGTGGTTCCGATAATCCCCCGCGGAAGAAGATCAACAAGCACTGGGTGCTCATTTGCGCGAGATGTGCCAGTTCAAGGAATTCTGCGACATATTCCTCGATGGCGCGATTCTCTTGACGGAGACGGAGAATCTGGACGTCTGGACTCCAGAAAGGCATGGCTGCTGGATCACGATGCGGTGAGTTGTTCTGTAACGTGATGCGGTGAAGGCAGATAGGAGGCTGGATCCAAACGCAGTTTACACGCTTTATTTAAACAAACTATACACTTAAACAGAGACTTGGAACAGGAACGACCAACACTCACGTTAATCCTGAAACATATAACAACTCACAAAGACAGGACAGAAACACAGGGCTTAAATAATCAGGGACAAACGAGCTAACAGGATAACAAGGGGGCGTGGGAAAATCAGAAACACCTGGGAAAACTAATGAACAAGACAGGGAACCAAAGAACATGACAGGACACAAACCCACATCGTGACACTGATATAAATATTATAGTTAAACTTTATGTGTGGAGTACTTCTTTATTGCACAATGCACTTTTTTTTTTTTTATAAAAAAACAAACAAAGCCCAGGTGGGAAAAAGTAATGCAAAAAGTAACGTATTTTCCATAAGAAGTAACTAAGTAATGAAATTAGTTCGTTTTTTAGGGAGTAAAGCCATATTTATATATACATATACCGGTATATATATATACACACACACACATACACAAAAATAAATAAATAAAACAAATGTAAATAGGTTTCATATATAAACCCTAAAGGCTGAGTTCATTATGTGGCGTCTCACACAGATGTGTTTACTCCAGACGGATCAATATCTGCCACATGTGCTCCAGATAAAAAAAGAGCAAGTCTGGATCACTTTTTGGCAGTGGCAATAACACTCATTACAAGGCCGCAGCGCTCCGTGTGTGTGTGTGTGTGTGTGAGGAATAACCCCACGGGTGCGTGTTTATCAGTCACCATAGAGAATCTCATTATATAGATTATGTGTGTAATGGAGTGTGTTCATGGACCACTGACTCTAGAGAGACACACCAGCACAACACAGTGAATAACACAGCACATCGGTATTCACTGCAGCTCCAGCTCCCATCACAAACTAGCTAAACCAGAGCTTAACAACTGAACATGGAACGTATTTATATGGCTATACTACTTAATTGAGGAACAATGATCATATTAACCTTCACAGATGGCATCCATGTAGATAAAAACTAGCATAGACCAGTGCTAATAACTACGGAGGCGTATTGCATTCACTTGAGGAAAAGAAAATCTACTCTGTTGTTCTGAATTAACGAGTTAATTATCTCAGAATTACGAGATAATTTTTCATGAAAAAAAGTTTTTGCTCTGTTTTTCTGAATTAACGAGTTAATTATCTCAGAATTACGAGATAATTTTTCATGAAAAAAGTTTTTGCTCTGTTGTTCTGAATTAACGAGTTAATTATCTCAGAATTACGAGATAATTTTTCATGGGAAAAAAGGTTTGCTCTGTTTTTCTGAATTAACGAGTTAATTATCTCAGAATTACGAGATATTTTTTCATGAAAAAAAAAGTTTTTGATCTGTTTTTCTGAATTAACGAGTTAATTATCTCAGAATTATGAGATAATTTTTCATGAAAAAAAGTTGTTGCTCTGTTTTTCTGAATTAACAAGTTAATTATCTCAGAATTACGAGATAATTTTTCATGAAAAAAAGTTGTTGCTCTGTTTTTCTGAATTAACGAGTTAATTATCTCAGAATTATGAGATGATTTTTCAAGGAAAAAAGTTTTTGCTCAGTTTTTCCTGAATTAACGAGTTAATTATCTCAGAATTAAAAGATCATTTTTCATGGAAAAAAGTTTTTGCTGTTTTTCTGAATTAACGAGTTAATTATCTCAGAATTATGAGTAACTCATTAATTCATAAAAACAGAGTGAAAAAAAAAATTTTCAAGAAAAATTTCTCTCATAATTCTGAGATAATTAACTCATTAATTCAGAAAAACAGATCAAAAAAAATTTCCATGAAAAATGATCTCGTAAATTCTGAGATAATTAACTCGTTTATTCAGAAAAACAGATCAAAAACTTTTTTTCCATGAAAAAATATCTCGTAATTCTGAGATAATTAACTCGTTAATTCAGAAAAACAGAGCAAAAACTTTTTTTTTCATGAAAAAATATCTCGTAATTCTGAGATAATTAACTCGTTCATTCGCAAAAACAGTCGATTTTTTTTCCTCGAGTGAATGCAATACGCTTCCGTAAATAACAATCTTAACACCAGCTAACAAAAGACTAGCATTACCTGTCTAAAATTAAAAGTTTCTACTTCAGAACAAAAGTTGGAGGACGTGCAGAACACACACACACACACTCTCGCCCGCTCCTGCAGTGATGAAGGCATTGCGGCAGAACCGTTTCAGCACACGCCACTGCCTCCTGACCACAGAAACAGTGCTAAAACAAGAGACGCTAATCAATTGACCTCAATTACCAGCACAGTATCTCGCAGGACACCAGCAGCCCCCGTATATCTGCGCTTGTTTACACTCCCACGGAAAATTACCCATCATCCTCTCATAATGAGATGATGAAGGACAGAGAGGCTTTCTGTTCAGCAGAAGAGCACGAGAGGCTTCCCAGAGGATCAGTTATGTGATATCAGCACAGACATTTGTCGCATTCTCATCAAATTGCATCTTGTTCGGTGCTGATGTGTGATATTGTCTGCTAGCAGGATAGCAGGATTTTATTCAAACTGAAAACAAATCTGAAATCATATCAATGCAAAGCAGCCGTACAGATCACTGTTTCTGGATGTGAAAGCTGCTCCGTCATTGGGTTAAGGGCTGGGTATACAGTACAGTAGTAGTGGAGCTTTATGATTGGTCGCTTGGTGCTGTCACTCACCATAGTGTGGTATAATGGCCCAGGCCATGGCCGAGGCGTAGATCCCGCCCACCATCCAGAACATGCAGAGCCAGCTCAGGTGTTCCCCGCGCTTCTCACGGGCCAGACACTCCGCAAAGTACGAGAACACGATGGGAACCGCCCCGCCAATCCTGCAAAGGAATTTTTATATTTCTTATATATATTTTTAAATGAATCATTTACATGTATTTAAAGAAATAATAACATTAGCAAATATATTTTAAGATTTATTCAATTTTTTTTAAAGAAGTCTCTTCTGCTCACCAAGGCTGCATTTATTTGATCAAAAATACAGTAAAATAGTGAAATATTATTACAATTTAGACTAGCTGTTTTCTATGTGAATATATTGTAAAGTGTAATTTATTCCTGTGATCAAAGCTGTATTTTCAGCATCATTACTCCAGTCTACAGTGTCACATGATCCTTCAGAAATCACTCTAATATGATGATTTGCTGCTCAAGAAACATTTCTGATTATTATTATCAGAGTTGAAAACAGTTGTGCTGTGGAATATTTTTGTGAAAACCTTGGAACATTTTTTTAGGATCTTTTAATGAATAGCATTTATTTCAAATACATTCTTTGGTAACATTATAAATGTCTTTACTGTCACTTTTGATCCGCTTAATGCATCATTGATATATATATATACAGTATGTATACAGGTGAAACTCGAAAAATTTGAATATCCTGCAAAAGTTATAATTTTGATGATTATGCATTACAGCTAATGAAAACCCCAAATTCAAAATCTCAGAAAATTAGAATATTACATGAAATCAATAAAAAAAAAAAAGGATTTTAAATGCATAAATGTTGGCCCTCTGAAAAGTATAATCATGCATTTGTTAGTTATATATACTAAATATATTAGTTTCACCTTTTAATTTGAATTACTGAAATACATTAACTTTTGCACGATATTCTAATTTTTCGAGTTTCACCTGTATATATATATATATGTGTGTGTGTGTTCATTATTAGCTTACTTACATCGATTCATTTAATTAAATAATCCCCAAATAAAACAAGTATCAAAAATGATTGAAGGGGATTCCTTCACACGGGATTCCTTTGCGCTATTTTTAACACCGACTAAATTACACAAATAAATACATAAATGTGAATACATTTCATCAAATAAAATCAGCCAAGTTCAAAAATGAATAAATTGTCTTATGCTCTTCCTTTGTGATGCATCTAGCTATTTTTGGGCCTGTACTGTGTGTTTCAGTCTGTGTGACCTCTGACCCCCGGCGTCAGACGCGCGGGGTCACTGCACTTCAGTTAGCAATACATCCCTCTCTCTCTCCTCTTACATTACGGGTCTGTGCCAGGAGGTTAAAACAACTGTGACATTGCAGAAGTGCGTGTGTGTGTGTTTTATTCTCAGACAGCAGACATGATGGAGTTGTGCTGTATTCCCACGGCATATTTCCAGCTTCTGAAGTGATCCAATAATCAGAAGATGATTCAAAAGGAGCAAAATGTCAATGCTAGCATTTGTTTTGCAGGTGTATGATTATCAGAAAAGATCATTTCAGTGTTTTACACACTTTATCTGGCTCTATAAACATTTGCAAAACAGATTAACTTATCATGCACCATTGACTCACTGATGCATTAATTTGCTTATTAACTACTTGCATTGGTATCATACATCCATATCACATCAAATCAAAGGCTGATTTCAAGTCTGGTCCAAATAATCCAAGACGGCAAAATAGTGTCGGCCCAGATCCGGCCCACATCTGGTACACGACGTGGAGACACTATGTTGCTGTCTGGGATCAAGTTGAGCACAGGATTTTCTTTCAATTTAATGTTAAAAGTCACTATAAATCAGTCATGTGTGGTTTGACGTTCTGAGGAGTGAAACAATGATTCTGTGATCGATTACTCCCCCTCTTGTCATTCCAAACCAATAAGACTTTTAGGTTACACTTAATTTCGAAAGTCCACTTTAGACACTCTACTAACTATAACTTTGCACCTACATGTCAACTATCTCTCATTAGAGTATTAGTAGACTGTTCGGGTTTGTAGAATAAACTGATATATACTTACAAAGTTACTTATAGTCAGTAGAATGATTGTTGAGGAGCATCAACATAAAGTGTTTGCAGATATTAAAGGAGAACTCCGGCGCAAAATGAACCTTTGGTCTAATAAAACAGTGGTACCTAGTCAATCGTTCTCTGAGATTTGTTTTCAAGATAATCGAATGTAAAGAGTTTTATCTCTAAAAACTGTTTAGCGTATAACGCTAGTAATGGGGGCATTTAATAAGTAAAAAGAAATCGCTAGGTTATACCACTAACAAGGCTCAAAATAGCCCCACACGAACACAGTAACATAATGAGGGTCCCTACATGCAAAACGAAGCATTGAGAACTTTGTAAGTGTACAGACCGTTTAATAAGAAGATAAAGATAAAGACAGTCCACTTCGTGTATACAGACAGGAGCCATCTTTGGAAAACAGTCTCGACTAATCAAACCACGAACGACGTGCTAAGTGAGCTGAACTGTATGAATGGCGTTCGTGGTTTGACTAGCGTTATACGCTAAACAGTTTTTAGAGATAAAACTCTTTACATTCGATTATCATGAAAACAAATCTCAGAGAACGGTTGACTAGGTACCAATGTTTTATTAGACCAAAGGTTCATTTTGCGCCGGAGTTCTCCTTTAAGCAGACAGTCTACTAATACTCTAATGACTGCTAGTTTACATGTAGCTGCAAAGTTACTTATAGTTAGCAGAATGTCTGGTGGGAAAAAGAGAAAGTGGACCATCGAAATAAAGTGTTACCCAAAAATCTTCCGGGTTTGAATGTTTTGAAGCATCGAAAATACATTTTGGTCCTAAAATAACAAAAACTAGGACTTTATTCAGCATTGTATTGTCTTCCGGTTCTGTTGTGGATCCGCGTTCAGTGTCGCTGCTGACGTAAGACGCTGCTGACGTGTGTCTGGTGTGTGTGTGTGTGTGTGTGTGTATTCTGGTTCTGTTGTGGATCCGCGTTCAGTGACGCTGCTGACGTAAGACGCTGCTGACGTGTGTCTGGTGTGTGTGTGTGTGTATTCTGGTTCTGTTGTGGGTCCGCGTTCAGTGCCGCTGCTGACGTAAGACGCTGCTGACGTGTGTCTGGTGCGCCCGTGTATTCGGGTTTAAATAAATATGGCTGGGCAAAAAAATGCAAGTCTTCCTCTGTGTGGAAATCCTTAGACATGTTTGCGAAGATTGTTTTGTTTCCAGCTTGCGTCTCCCTCAGACTCGGGCGCACCAGACACACACACACACCAGACACACGTCAGCAGCGTCTTACGTCAGCAGCGGCACTGAACGCGGATCCACAACAGAACCGGAAGACAATACAATGCTGAATAAAGGCGTAGTTTTTGTTATTTTTGGACCAAAATGTATTTTCGATGCTTCAACACATTCTAACTAACCCACTGATGTCACATGGACTACTTTGATGATGTCTTTATTTCCTTTCTGGACAAGGACAGTATACCGTACATACATTTTCAATGGAGGGACAGAAAGCTCTCGGACTAAATCTAAAATATCTTAAACTGTGTCCTGAAGATGAACGGAGGTCTTACGGGCTTGGGACGACATGAGGGCGAGTCATTAATGACATCATTTTCTTTTTTGGGTGAACTAACCCTTTAAGAACGCTCTGAATAACCTTTCCCACACTGCATTAGCTAAGTAAAGGAAAGATCATCAAAGCCGAAGACGGATGGTTTCCTCCATTCATCCTCATGGAACATGAGCGAGAGACTCACCCGAATCCCGAGAGCATCCTGCAGAAGAGGAAGGTGCCGTAGCCCTGAACGAAGGACGAGAGGAAGGAGAAGAAGCCGTTGACTGACATACACACCAGCAGACACTGCCGTCGGCCCACCTTATCTGACAGACCGCCCCAGAAGAACGCTCCCACCATCATTCCCAGATACACCACACTGCCTGCAGAGGGAATAGCAGTTCATCAGCATCATCATGGAAACACATACTACACACACACACTCATTCTTGTACATCTATCTTTGTGAGGACATTCACTGACATAATGCAATCTCTAGCTTTTCACCCTGACCTTACCCATCACAACTAAGGCCACGTACACAAACACAGCTAAATTCAGTCGTCAGTTCACCTTTTAGTGCTTAAAGCAGCACTAAGTAGGAATTCCGTTTTTGTCAAACAGCGACCCCTAGAGTCGCTGTGGAGCACTTGTACTGTCGTGAATAGCACTCACGCAGAGATGGCTCGCACTCACGGCCGGATCCCCTCCCCCTGTACACCGGTACCTGTTCAGTAGGATGGACGCTGTAACGAGTGGAAATAAGGTATGGCCCCTTTAAGAGCTGCGCGCGCCCTGTTTAACTGTCGGCAGTCTGTATTGTATGTGCGCCTCGAACACCACATGTATACGGCGCCGGATTATTTCTGTTTGATGCTCATTTTATCAGAATTTTATCAGATCTGTTTTTTGCCGTAAAGCAATTTGTTACCTCGCGAGACCTGATATCACACGATACTTCCTAACACTGAGGAGCCCGCCGGGCCAAAGTTGCAAGGGTGGTTTTGCGGCTCACAGGCACCAGGGGGGTGCGAGACGACCACCATTCAATACAAAATCAGTAATATAAACATTACAATGACTCCAAAGCTGTTCGGTTAAGGTAAAAAAGTTACTTAGTTCACCTTTAATCTCGTTCTGCACACACACAGTTCAGTCATTTACGGGAGTGACAACTGCATTCTACAACCGAATTAAAGGGTTAGGGTTGATTACGATTTCACTTTTGTAACTTTAGTTAGTGTGTAATGTTGCTGTTTGAGCATAAACAACATCTGCAAAGTTACGACGCTCAAAGTTTAACGCAAAGGGAGATATTTTCAATTACAGAAGTCGATTTTTAAGGACTACAACAAACGGCTGGTAGGGACTACACGACATTCCTCCCGGGTTAGTGACATCACAAACCCTAGAATTTACATAAACCCCGCCCCCGGGAAAGTGATTTATAGAATATCATGACAGAATATGCTAATCAATGACTAAAAGATAGTTGACTCCACATCAGCTACATAAATTCATCAACTAACCGTTCAGAAACGTCCTGTTGCTTCTACATGTTGTCACTTTTTCTTGAGTCTCTACATCTTTGTCTGGTTTGAACATAAAAGGCTAAAAGTGTTTGAAATTTGCGCGAGGTAATCGGAGCTGCTAACACACACACACACGGGCTCTTGAAGCTCCGCCCTCTGTGCCGGGAGCAGCAGCTCATTTGCATTTAAAGGGACACACACAAAACGAGTGTGGGGTATTTTGAGCCAAAACTTCACATACACACTCTGGGGACATCAGAGACTTATTTAACATCTTGTGAAAAGGGCTTATAGGAACCCTTTAACTCCCAAACAATGCAGGTAGTGACAACCACGTTTACACAAGTTCTACGCAGTGTGTACAGAACCGAACTCAACAACTAGCTGTAAATGACGTATTTTAAACATAGATTGTATAAAACAATGGACTAAAACATAGCCTACGGAGGACGTCATGGACTGAAGAGCATTTTTGAAGCCCAAAGTGGGTGGCGCCGGCCGTCGCCATCTTGACAGCGCGCAATCTCCTGGATAAACTAAAATGGGCAAAGGAGTTAACTGATTAACAGACAGCAGACAAACGGCTAGTAGTGATAGCAGCGGCAATCCACCTGTCACTCAAGTGGCCACGCCCTTAATTATGCAGATATTTAAGGTTTAATATAATTTAAACGGATGAGTTATAAAAAGATTCACCCCCCTCTCAGTCGTCATGAAGGGCAAAATTAGCTAAATAGACCAAAACCACTTTTTCTACCAGGCTGTAAACATGTTTTTTTCTGCTGTAAAGTTAGGCATTTTAACATGGGGGTCTATGGGATTGACTCTCTTTTGAAGCCTGTCTCTAGAGGCCAGTCGATGAATTGCAGTTTAAGTCACTTCCGTGTTGGATTCAAGAGAGACAGGAAAGTTGCCGCTTGATTTTAACGTGAATCAGAGATGTTTCTCTCTTCTGCAAGAAATCACAGGGAAAGCGGTAAGAGCTTTGACTCTTTCATGTTGCCAGATCAAGCCCACAATAAACTGAAATAAATCCAAATACTTTATGTCAAAAATAAGACCAAAATTTCACGACCCACACCTGCTCACTTTAATAACTCCATAAACCTGATCGCTTTATGAGCCAAGCTTAAACAACAAGCTCAAAACTCGAATAATAAGTGGACGTGGTGGCAACACTGCAAACTTAACCGTGACAATGTGACATTAAAAGAAATGTATCAATGGCTCAGATGTTTCTCTTGCAGTTCCTTTGGATAAATAAAACAGACACAAGTCAATAGTTGTCATTCAGTAAGAAATAATATAGAGATATGAAATGAATGAGGAGACAGTTTGAGACATTGTTGAGATTTCTTCTGAAACTCATCTCTCACAGAAATTCACCATTTGATTTGCATTTAACCTCACTTCTGTCTAACAACTGAGATATTAAAGAGATCTCATTAGAGAATTTCCCTATGTGGTCAATAACTGTAACATAAATCACACACACAGCTGTTATTAGTTTCATTGATCCGTTTCCATCACCCCAAGCCACAGTAGAGTTTAAAAGGGCAAATTTAAAGGGACAGCTCACCAAAAAATGTGCACACACACACACACACACACACACACACACACTCTCTTATTGTCATTATCTAAATATTTATGAGGTTTAATATTCTTTTTGTGTTTCGCAGAAGAAAGAAAGTCATACTGGTTTTGATCAACATGAGAGTGAGTAAATAATGACAGAATATTAATTTTTAGATGAGGAAAGTTTAGCCAAAATTGAATGTTCATCTCATTCTGGTTACAAAATGCTTCTGGCGACAAAAAGTTTTGTTTGTTCACATCTTGTGGAATGCATCCATGATATCCTAAGACAATATATAGCTAACTAACACACCTGAGCTCAATAAATAAGAACTGAAGATGACCTACACCGGGCTTTTATTCACTCAAGATGTGCAATGCCTCAACAGAAAGGATAACAGGTGTATATTAATCATTGTTCCTTTATTCCAGCTGTGAGTTCAGAAGGACGGGTTGATCATCACTCATTCCATCCAGTAAAAACACACACACACACACACGCACGCAAATATATAACAGAATAAATCCAGTCCTGTCCACTCATTCAGGATAAAGTAATAAAAATGCAAATTTATGTTGTAGAATGTAAAGTGAAGGCCATTTGATGTGTATGAGCTCGACCAATGAAAACACAGAGGCGCATCTCTGTCTATCTTTCAGTGCTATTTGGTGTTCTTCATCCCTGGCGTTCTCTGTAGAGTACGAGGAGGAGTGTGTGTTATCTCGCTGCGCAGACGTTACGGGCCGCCCTGGTCATCCATTACTGTCTGACAGCACTGAATACTGCGGCTCGCTCTCGCTTTCTAGACCGATACGCTATATTCAGCAGAAGAGCTGCTTTCACAGAGACACATCTACAGTATTACAGTCACTGATCTTTCCATAAAGTACTTGTGCTATATTTTTACATACAGTATATATATATATATACATACTGTGTGTAAAAATACTCTACTAAAATTCTCTACTACAGGAAAACCTATAAAACAGCTTTCGGCTGGAGCTTTAGCTTATTAAAGTGCCCTTATTATGCTATTTTAAAGGATCCTAATTGTGTTTTGGAGTCTCCTACAATAGGTTAACATGCATCTAACGTCAAAATTATTTTTTTTATAATATACATTGCAGCATCACCTCATTTCTCAAAGAGTCTGAAAACGGTTCGATGAAGGGTCTAAACAACGCATTCTCATCCCAAAGCGTAATATATTGACTCTTTTGACAAAGCGTCTATATCCAACGCACATGGCACCCTTTAGCGTCAATATAACACGCTTCGGTTTTGGGTAGGTTTAGGTCTGGGGTAGTGTTAGGGTTAGACCACTAGGAGGCGCCATATATCTGCGTCTCATATGACGCTAAAGGGTGCCATGTGCGTTGGATATAGACGCTTTGTCAAAAGAGTCAATATATTACGCTTTGGGATGAGAACGGGCTGGTCTAAACCCTCCTTTCCGAGAGCCTACTCTGCTCTGATTGGTCATATGGTCCAGTCTGTTGTGATTGGTCTACTCTGCTCTGATTGGTCAGATGGCTCAGTCTGTTGTGATTGGTCTACTCTGCTCTGATTGGTCAGATGGTCCAGTCTGTTGTGATGTGGTCTACTCTGCTCTGATTGGTCAGATGGTCCAGTCTATTGTGATTGGTCTACTCTGCTCTGATTGGTCAGATGACCCAGTCTGTTGTGATTGGTCTAGTCTGGTCTGATTGGTCAGATGACCCAGTCTGTTGTGATTGGTCTACTCTGCTCTGATTGGTCAGATGACCCAGTCTGTTGTGATTGGTCTACTCTGCTCTGATTGGTCAGATGACCCAGTCTGTTGTGATTGGTCTACTCTGCTCTGATTGGTCAGATGCCCCAGTCTGTTGTGATTGGTCGACCGCTTACAGCTTGTGTCGTAAACCAAATGGCCATTACAATAAATGGATTTCAGCTCCGGATCTTCCTCAGCACTTGATAGATAGTGATACGAACAGTAACCATGGCGTCGGTTTTCCGTATCAATCTCATCCTTTAGAAGTGCATCAAAGTGGATTTACTTTGGCAGCAGAAAACACGGTCTTCTCGAACCAAACACTTGAGGGCGGGGCAAAGCAAACTTTGTTCGCCGGCAACCGATGAAGACCTTGGCTGGTATTATGCAAATTAGTTACAAACATACATACAGTAGGTTCGAGCAGGAAGTGAGACTGGAGTTACTGACGACTCGTTTCAGGCGGTTCAGAATCGATTTTTGTGGCGAGCAGGACGAGGTCGAGGGCCGTGAGAGAAC